CGCGGTGGCATATATACGCGCGTACTAAGCGGAGAGCCGGCGGTAGTCTAGACGGAGTGTCGATTTTTGCTGCGGCACCAAATTAGAAACCCTTCCCTGCCGGATCCATCGCTCGGTTCTTCTTCTCTCTCGTCCTCTTTCTCGGTTTTTCTATCCCTCCCTCTCTCTCTATGCTCCCCGTAGCCCCGATCTCCGCGCTCCTCCGCTACACACTCTTTTTTACTCGTTCACGTGTCCGTCTCTCCAGCCTCTCCGGCTCCGCGCGCCTCTCCTCTCCGCGCGGCCGCGTTTCTCGCTCTCCCGTGTTCGCGCGCGCCGTACCTCGCGGACGCGTGCATGCGAAATCGCTTAAAGGGGATGAACAGACTAGTCCGGCCGGCTCGATCCCCTAACTCCGCGCCGACCGGTGCAAATATTTTCGCGTGCTCCCAGCACGGTCGCCTAACGCACCGTGCAACCATTCCATTAAACCAGGAAGGCTAGTCTCGGCTCCTAAGGGAAGATTGGACGAGTAACTCCCGGTTACCGAGTTCAATCGAGAACGACTCTATTGTCTTCTCATTCGAGCTGGAAAAGGAGTCTCCGGTGTTGCGCGGAGTCCGAAGATTCGCGATCTCTCGTTAGTCCGGCGCGAATCGGTCCGTGCATTTGCGTAAACACGCGTGCGCCCGTTTAGGGGGAGCGCAGGGACCGTATAAAGGACGAATAAAGGTGGGCTGTAAAGGGAAAAACTTGAACTTAATCCCGGACCGCGCAAATTGTGTTCCATCCTCTCCTCTTCGCTTTCATTACCTTTAACTTCTCGGCTCGCTTTAGCCTCTACCTGAAAAGGTACTTATCCGGCCCTTCCCTTAACTCCCGCTACCATTACGAGCAACGATTTCCACCCCTCTCCGCCGCCCCTTTGTCCTTCTCGTTCTTTTTCTCCCCCGTTCCCGGCTTCGATTGACCCAGGAGAACGAGAATTAAAAGTTCCTGCAGCGAAATCCGGGAAACCCATGCGGGAGAAACGATGCGGATCGCTCCTTCGCGTGCAATGCGGATCCGGGGACGAGCGGCTCCCTCGGAACCGTACGGCGACCACGTGGCGAAATTAATAACTGGACCGGCGCGAGGGAAAACATCGATTTTAGTCCGATTAAGGGATTATTCCGGGCGCTCGTGCAGCGCCGGACACGGGAATTGCGTCCGCGCGTTGCGTTAATCATCGCGCCGACGTGCCTAGAATTACCTGAAAGAGGCGCGAGCGTCCGCTTTTATTCCGTCTCGGTTTCGAAATTCCACGGCCGGCGCGGCCGTCCCGCGCGGATCGACGTTTAACCCTGTCTCCCCGCCGCTTCTAATGAGCATCGCTCGCGTAACACGGCTCTCCTCGCAATTAGTCGGGACTTGTCAAATAACGCTCGTTAATATAATAAAAAGACGAACGGAGCGGCCGTAAAATTTCATCGTCGATAATTGGAAGCAGACGACCAATTAAAGGGAACGGCTCCGCGTACGCCGAGGGGCGAGCATTATTTCCAACGCAAACTTCTCGCGTAACGAGTCGTTCTCGCCTCGGCTGTTCCGGGTCGCGGCGCGAGAGGTCTCAATTCCAATTGCGAGGCGACTCGACGCTTTCTAAATGCGAATCAGTCCGGACACGGCAATTCGATGCCCCGGAATGTCTCGGAATTCCCCGAGACTTCCCGAGGACCGCGTCTCGGTACTCGCCTCGAATTCGAGACATTCCGAGGCCGGAGGGCGCCGAATCCCGCTCGGGGCGGATTCGAACGTTTCGCCGCGCGTGCATACTCGAAAGAATTCCCTCGTCCCGATAACCGATCCGCGCCGCCCCGAGACCGCGGGAACGCTTCGATCGGCGTCGATGCTCGCCGGGAGACGGAATCCGGACCGCGAGTAATCCGCGACGTTCGAAAAGTTATTAAATTTGCCGGCGCGTCTCGGGGGCCAACTTCCGCGGAGCTCCCTCGGAAGTTTCGGCTTCTTCATACGGAAAAACGAGTTTCCTCCCGCTGCCGGATAGAAGTCCAGAAATTTCAGGCTCCTCTAAACCCGTCCCCGCGGCGGCACGGATCCTCCTCGGCGGAGCGTCTCGGCAAAACTTCCTGTTTGCCCCGAACTTTGCGGAATCATCTCCAGGGAGCAGACGATGCTACACGGGCCGGGGACCGTCTCGAGATCCGTGTACCCGTCGAAAAGATAATAAACGAGCTAATCCGGTCGTAGGACACTAATCTCCCGATTGGAACCGTGCTACGGAATTATCGTCGCGAGCACGAGCGAGCTTTTCGCATGGAGCTCTGACACTCCCGTCCCCCTTGTCCCTGGAAACTTGCCACTCGACCCGTAGTCGTAGATCGGAGGTCGGAGGGCACGATTGAAAAGGTTCTAACGGAAGTGTTATCTGTTTGCAGGCGGAGATCGAAAGTGGTGATATCCTCCGCGAAGCTAGAGGACAGTGGTAGATACGAGTGCGTGGCGGAGAGTACTTCCGGACACAGGGCCTCGCTCGCGGCCCAGCTTCTAGTCGCTCACGATACGAGAATTCCGGAAACGAGTAAGTTCACTTTCATTCTATGGATTAAATTAAGCCGATAGAATGGTGTTTCTCGCGATCGAACTATCGGCGGCGTCGATTTCGCGCGAATATCTTCATCCCGGCTGCGCCGCGATCCTCGACCGACCGTGCGTCGTCTCGCGACGGGTCAGTCGCAACGGTTGTAACTCGTATTTTCAACAATCTCGCCGGTAACACGGTGTAGCGCGAAAACGTTCGGAAAACGGCACCGACACGAGAGTCGTTTCGAGGTACGGTGGAGCGTATCGGTATTTCGGTTTCAAAGGGGATGGAATTCTGCGATTCGGGCTGGCCGGAGCGTCGTTCCCTCGAATACGCGCGGCAGCTTCGTTACCGGTGCCCGTCGATCGACGACACAGACAGCGGCCGGGAAAGAGAGAGGACGCGGGAGGGAGGGAGGGAGGCTTCGAAACAAAAAGAGAGTCCGACGCGTTTTGTTCGGTTGCCGGGTGGATTTCCGGCGACCGATCGATCGGCCGGCCGACGGAACACCTGCGGATAAACCGCGAGGTCGCCGGGCACGTTCGAGTTCCCGGTCGTTGTTGTCATAACGTCGATCGTGCGTGAAGCCGTCGCGAAATCGTAGTTCGCCTCTGCGTGAAAATAATCGCACGGCTCGCGGCTCGCCACTTTGCGGCTTCCGCCAGCTGCGAATATCTCGCCGATCGCGTTGCTCCGGGGAAAATCATTTTTCCAGGCTCGCGGAAACACACACACACACACACACCCACACACACACCGAATAACGGCAATTAGTCGAAACCCAGCGGTCGAACGGCTCCGCGGCAAGAAACCGTCGCGAAGTTGACCGGGGTTCTCTTAGCTTCTCGCCGATCGATTCGTCGTAGACTTCCGGCGGGCAAATCCGCCGGCCGAACTCTAGTTTACGGGTTTTCATAATACCTGCAACATTTGGTAGACGCCTTCTCGCGGGTGTATTTATGCCGGCGGAGAAGTGCGCCGAAGGGAAACAGTTAAACGGGGGAAAAAGCACGGTGGCCCGGTAGTTTCCACGGTTGGCAACGGACGCCGACGGCGAAACTCGTTCCTCGTAACCTGTTACGAACACGTAACTCACCGCCGGTGCAATTTCAACCGCGATACGAGATACCGCCCGCCCGGTTCGAAGGAATTGCCGTCGCTGCTCGGGCGAGAGGGAATTCCTCTCGATTCCTGTCGAAAATACCGTGCGCAGCAGGAAACCGCTCTTCACCGGGGCCGACACTCGAGTCTCGGCCACAAAGAACCGCTTAAGCGGCGGAATACTCGAAAGCGGTCGCGCCGCGTCGCGTCGCATCGCGTCGCGAGGGGAACAAAGCTGCGGGGAAAAGAATAGTAGATTCGGTAGCTTCGTCCGTGGCTGTCGCGAGTAAACCGTGTCCAATAGGAAAGTCGGCCGATAGCGTATCGCCCTTGATCCCCGATCGACTCTTCGACCTCAGCTGCAACGACGGCGAAACGCGGCCGCAACTTCCATATCGGACGCGACTTATTCCCGACAGCTTGAAAGGCGGAAAAAGATGATCGCGCCGGAGGAAGGGCGCGGAAGATATACGATTTATGGGCCTGTAATCGCGCAGGATAAACCAGGGATTAAGCAGCTGATGCGATAATGCCGGCATAGTTCGGCGGTTCCGGCGCAGCCTGGAAAGCTTGCGGTTCGCCGCCGCCGTCGTGCTACGAGCTCGTGTGACGGACAAAGGGCGACAATTACAACCCTGCCAGCCACGTCAGGGTTTCATATAGCTCTGAACTGCTGATGGTGGGTCAGCTATCCGTTTTGGTACACACGCGTGTATTCGAGCGGCTCGTAAATCCTGGAACGATGGACCGACGCGAACGTCTGCCCGAGGACGCGGAAATTCTCTGCGTTCTTCGTTCCACGGCGTAACCCGTGCGCAGATCGCAGAAATCCAGCTTCTCCGAGCGTGAATATCTCCTCCAGTTCCCGGGTGCTTCTTGCTGGCTTCCAATAACGATCGGCAATCTTTTTGCCGTGGAAATTAGAATAATTATTCCTCGAGCAGAGAAAACAGAACGTATCGACGAGAAAACGTCGAACTCGCGAACCGTGCAGGGGAAACGAGGAATCGACTATCGCCTCGGCCGCATAGCTGTTATCGCCGCAAACGGCGAGACTCGTTGAGCCGCGTCTCAACGCTGCGGCCGTGACTTTGGCCTCAGCCATGGTTAACGCTCGATCGTGGTAACAGATTGTGGTAACGTTTATAAGCCTAGAATTCCCCGAAAGAGCGCGCCGCTCGCTAGACTACAATAACATTTACCACAAACTTTTACTACGGGCTCGAATGCGAGCGCTCGACGCCGCACTGTGCTCTAACAATTGCCGTCGCGACTGCAACGGCACGCGCTTTACTGCTGCGGAGGTGTAACTTGATACAATAACGCGCGTTCCGCGTCGTTTGCCCCGCGAGAGGGCTGACTTACGCGTTGCCGAGCTACGCCGCCGAGATCAATGAAATTATGCCTGTTGGCCTTGGAGAAGAACGACTCGACGAATGCGGAGAACGCAGTGTCCTAATCCGCTAGTCGATTGACAGACACTGGGGAGCGTTCGACACTGAACACTATCGGGAATCGAGAAACAAGCGGACGAATGCGAAATAACGAAAACGGAGAAAGTCGGTAGAAGACGTAGAGTGGCGAATTTTATAAAATCGTCGAGTTCGTGAAGAATAGATGCAACGTTAGATCTCTTCATCGTTTGAAATCTCTAACGAACATCAGCTGTATCGCTGGAAAACGCGTCGAACTTTCCGCGATTTCTGTACAAACCAAAGAGCACGTCCACGCTGTACGCGGAAGTTCTCGGGGATTCCGAGATTTCGATCATCGAATCAGTAGAGTGATGCACAAGCAAGCGAGAACCTTTACACGCGACCGGTAATAAGAAACCACGGTTCCGCGGTAGGAGTTCGAGATAACGAAACGTTACTCTAGCCGAAGGGTCGCGGAGTCTTCTCGTTCCGCCGGCGCGCGGTCCTTTGAAACCGCGCAAAATACGAGCGGGAGTATCTTTGAATCCCGCAGCCGCGTGAAAGAGTCGCGGCTCTTTTTCTATGACGTCACCGGGGAGCCGGTGACGAGGTTTCGTGCTTAAGTTACGCGGAAGAAATCCTCGAGCGGTCAAACACCCGGTTCCCGGCGGGGCCTAGGGAAAAAGGGGGCGCGGGATTCTTTTGAGCGCGGCGTGTGGGAGAGCACGCGCGGCCGGAATGCACGCGAAATTGTAAAAACCGAGACACGCGCGACGCGACGAGCCCCGGTCGCGTATGCGCGAGCTGCCGCGCGAATCACCGCGAGGGAGGGCGAGCTCTTTCACCGGCGGACAAAGGGTCGTTCCGCGATCCGGAGAATCGAGGTGGCCGGTTGCGCGCCGGCTTTCACTCTTTTCAGACCGATTCCGCTCGGAACAAACATCCTTCCGACGTTGCGGGGACTTAACGCCTGAACCGTCGAGTGATCTAATTGATGATTTTCCAGTTAGGCGTCGCTCGGAACGTTTAACCCTTTACGAACTCAAACCATTGAAACTTCAATGATTGAATTGTGTATCGAAATCTTAAGTACCAGGAGTATCTTCCGTTGTTAGAATTGTTAAATGGTTTATTCGGAGCTTTTGATTTTGTATATGGAAGCTCGAAGTCGTCATCGCGTTCGACTGCAAAGCGTTATTACGATGTGATCCCTATAAAGAATGTAACGTTTTCGGTTTCTTCAGACGTTGGTTATAGTATCCAGAGGAAACTATGTCCAAAATCACTTAGAATATCTAAAGTTTCGAAGATATCAATAATTGCAAACGAACAAACCGAAAGTAGTCCTAGTATTAACCCTTTGACGAATGTCGACATTTGAGATGAAATGTTCATATTTGGAAGACTGAGTTGCAGAGAAGTGATGCAATTAATCGACAGTTAGAGATCAGCACGTAGCTTCCTTCTCTTCTCTTGATTAAGCGATTGATAGACAATCTAGCTTCGTCTATCGAAGGTTTCCTACATTTCTAAAAACCTTCGTCCGCAAAGGGTTGAACACCTGCATTAGCTTCCCCCCTCGCTTCCTATTCTTTCCGAAGCTCGCGAGAGGACTCGAAAATGTGTGACGTCGACCCGTCCGGTAGTTCCAGCGTTAACGAGGCTCCGCGCGATACCGAGGAACCCTGGCAAACTTCGGCGAAGTTCCGCTCGCCGGTGCGCCGCGACTTAACGAGTGAACGATGGGAGTCGTTGTTCCGCTGATTATCGGCGACGCGGCCGACGACGCCGGTTAAGCGTCGATCGGCCGGATAACGATAAAAGGTGGGCGGGGAGAGATCCCCGGATAGGAAGATAGGAAGGCGAAGAGGAAAAGCAAAGGAACACTCGAGTCTCCCTCCGTTTAATGCTCTCGAAGGTGAAGAGACGCGAAACAGGGACAATTAGGAGGTGGGGCGGGTGTGCAGGCGCGCGAGTCGGCGTCGAGCGGAGCGGCGAGGGGCCGAAGGAATGACGAAATAGCAGCTATTACGAGCGGAAGGTAAGCCCTACTTCGCTGCGTCGTTGAGTCTCGCGGATGCTAACGCCGAGAGCGATACGCTCTCACTCCGCTCCGCGCAGTGTTGTCTTTCGGAGCATTGTTTCTTGACGGCTGCCGTAGGGGCGGGGGGTATCGTGGATCCAGTTGGCTCTCGCCATTCTTACGGAATTAATTAAAAGCGAGCCGGTCGAGTGTACGGCTCGCGTCGGATTACGGGGAACCGGAGATCGTTCCATCCCGAAGTCCCCGCCCCTTGACTTACGACCCTTTTAGAAGCTTTCCTCTTTCGCCTCTCTCACTCTCTCTCGCCCCGTTCCCCCTTTCTTTTCGCGTCCGTTCGTTCTTTTTTATTCTTTCACATCTCGCCGCGAGTCCTTTTGAAGGTTCCCGGAAAGGGCAACGATGCCCCGGAATCCGGCAGGATTTTCTTACGAGCGGGT